GAGCAGATTGCTGTCTCTGTCTCTCCTCTGCTCTCCGGCGCTGGCACATCACTAAAACGTCTTAGTCTTGTCTCTGAAAAAAATATATTTTTATTTCTCTGATTCACTGCTTTGTTCTGTAAGCACATGCAGCAATGTTCCAGTAAGAGACTTCCTGTGTTATAGGAGAAAAAGGTCTGTGTTGCAATCCCTGGATACTCGTGACAAGACGCAGCTCCTAAATGGAGTTTAACATTGTTTTTGTTTTTCTGTGACTAGCTGACTAATGAAAGTGGGTTGATTAAGACTCTTCTCATCAACTAATGGTTCAGTCAACTATTATGGGACAGCCATAAATCCTTTTGCTATGTGGTAAAAAAGTATTGTATAAATGTCAATACAAGATTATGATGTGCTAACGGTGACATCCTGGTTTCAAGCTGGGTGTCCCGAGACTCGACAAATATCTGTAAAACATTAATGTCCTAACCCAAAATAAAAACATTAAGAGTGCACCATGCATCTGAATTCGACACTGGTTTGTCTGTAGGCTGTATGTGTCAATCTTTAGCTAGCCATGTGTCATAGGCAAGCATTGAGTGTTAGCTGTCACTTTTCTAAGAAACTCCAGCAGGTATACTCCTTTGTAAAGTACCTGGTAATGAAAACACTGCGTTTGTGCTGTCCATTGTGAAAGGTGCACTCAGCAGGTGTGGTAAGCCCCCATCCTGGTAAAAATTTATATGATGCGTGCATAGGCAGATACAAGTGCATGTGCACAAACATGTAGTACACTTAATGGTCCCGGTTTGTGTTTGTTTTAGATGTGGTCCATTTGGAAGCTGACAGCATGTTACTGTATAGCAGTAGTATCAATACAGTTCAAATCATAAATCACAATTTGCCTCAGTGGGGATATAAAATTGATAGAGTGTGTGACACCCTGTGCCCTAAGACATGTGGTTTTGGTATGGCAGAAGAAAAAAAGAGGCAGACATGGGATGAATGAAATAGTACAGAGCAGACTGACAAAATCACTGTATATAAACAAAAACTAAAAGTTTGACTTTAAAACTTTAAACTTTATTGGTTTATTATGTGTATTTCTATTTATTGGCTAAGAAACTGTCAACTAAGCCAGAATTTTGTGTGATGTGAACAGCAGTTTTAATCATATCAAATACAGCACAGACTAAACTTTCAGGCAACCAAAATTGAAATTGTACCACCTAAAACCCATTTCCACTCTCAGTGTTGTGTAACCTCTAAGCAGTCACCCTTGGGACCACATGGCACATTAACATCTTCTACAATCAATTACAGGACAGTTAGGTAAACGCACACAGCTAGACAAAGACAAATGGCCACACATCTGTTCCAAAGGAAGTCAAGTAACCAAATATAAGTGTTGTAACCCTGCCAGGCAAGGCTCACATGCAGCATAAACTCACATACAAGAGCATTTCTCAAGGGGGCAGAATACCATATGGGGCTGCCAAATCCAATGTCACCTTGTCTCAAGTTGGCCAGATCTTAGAAACCTGGAGGGGCTGATTGGGAAGAACATCTAATCTGTTTTGCTATTGGACTGATGTGCTAGTAATTGATTGGCCATAACAAACACCATGTTTGACCAAAGGGGGTTCATAAGAGTTGTGTGAATTTCTACATAACAATAGTTTATTTAAGGCCAGTTAGTCATGGAGTTCCACAAGGTTCTGTACTTGGACCAATGCTATTTACTTTATATATG